TTTTTTTGATTTGTCAGTTAGAAAATGCATATATTTAGAGGTGCAAGGTAATATTCTAAAATGCGTATGCATTATAAAATGATTAATGCTAATGATCATATCTATCACTTCAAATACGTGTAGTGAAAACATTTAAATCCTTGTGACACAATAAAACACCAGAACTTATTCCTCATAGCCATAGCTTTGCAACCTGTCAACTAAGGTCTCCATTTTCCCACTCCTCCTCCAGCCCCCTATGCCACCACCCTGTCCTCTGCTTCTGAGATATACTTCTCTAGATCCCACACGTGAGATTGTACAGTATTTTTTTCTCTATGCCTATCTTATTTCACTTATAATAACATTCTCTAGGTTCATTCACATTGTCATAAAAGATAGAATTTTCTGAGTTTTTTTTCTGGACCCATTCCTGACCCTGGCCTAATATTCCACTGGGTGTGTATACCACATTTTTAAAACTCATTCAGGCACTGATAAACAATTATGTTAATATATTTATATGTTAATACAATATATTGTATATATACAATATTTTCACTATTGTATATAGTGCAGTGAACAGGGGAGACATCTTCTTGGAATAATTTTTTTTCAATTCCTTTGATTATATGCCCAGTAGTTGAATTGCTGGATTTTTTTTTTTTCTGAGACAGTCTCACTATGTCACCCTCAGTAGAGTGATATGGCATCACAGCTCACAGCAACCTCAAACTCTTGAGCGTAAGCAATTCTCTTCCCTCAGCCTCCCAATTAGCTAGGACGACAGGTGCCCGCCACAGCTCCTGGCTATTTTTTGTTGCAATTGTTATTGTTTACCTGGCCCAGGCCACGTTTGGACCCACCAGCCTTGGTGTATGTGGCTGGCATCATGACCACTGTGCTACAGGCACTGAGCCGAATTGTTGGATCTTGTGATAATTTTTAGCTTTTTTTTTTTTTTTAAGAACCTCTGTACTACTTTCCAAAATGGTGGTATGAATTTACAATACCACCAAAAGGGCATAAGAGTTTTTATGAAAACAAATTTCAAAGACCCATAATTCTAGAGCAGTCACACATCAAACAGAAGCTTGTTTGGTCCAAAACATGTGGCTAAAAGAAATCTAGTGTCTTGTTCAAAATTAGATTTGATTCTTTCTATTAACAAATATTTAGCTGCAGTGAACAATCTGGTGCAAATATCTTTGTTGCAGAGTGATTTTTGGTCTTTTGGATATACACCTAGTATATTCCTAGAGGAATTGCAGGATCAAGCAGCAGGTCTGCATTTAGATCCCTGAGTGTTCTCCAAATCTCTTTCCAAGAGGAACGTACTAGCTTCCATTCCCACTAGCAGTGCAGAAGTATTCTTTTCTCCACATCCACACCAACATCTGTAGTTTGCAGATTTTTTGTGATGTGGGCTACTCTTACTGGAGTTAAATGATCTCAAAGTGGTTTGGTTTGCATTTCTCTAATGATTAAAGATGATGAGCATTTTTTCATGTGTCTGTCTGTCTTCAGAGAAGCTTCTGTTCATGTCTCTTGCCCACAATGAAGTGGGATCACTTGTTTTCTTATTAATAAGTTTGAGTGCTCTGTGGATTCTGGTTATTAGACCTTAACCTGCAAATATCTTCTTCCATTCTGAGGGCTGTCTACTTGCTTTACTTTGTTCTTGGCAGTGCAGAAGCTTTTTAGTTTGATCAGATCCCAGTAATGTGGTATTGCTTGGTATTTTTGGTATTGCTTTGATTGCCTGGGGGTCCTCCTCATAAAGTATTCTCCCAGGCTAATTTTTTCAAGTGTTTCCTCTGCACTCTCTCCAAGAATCTTTATGGTTTCATGTCTTAGATTTAAGTCTCTTATCCAGTGAGAGTCAATTTTTGTTAGAGGAGAAAGGTGTGGATCCAGTTTTAGTCTTTATTTCATAATTACTAGGTCATGGAAGAAACCTAAATGCCCACTGACCCATGAATGGATTAATAAATTGTGGTACATGTATACCATGGAATACTATGCAGCATTAGAAAAAGATGGAGACTTCACCTCTTTTACATGGATGGAGCTGGAAATTATTCTTCTTAGTAAAGTATCTCAGAATAGAAAAAAATCCAATGTACTGAGTACTATTATGAAACCAATTTATAATCACTCACACTTTCATATGAAAGATGAATCACAACTATAGCCCAGGATGGAGAGGAGGCAAGGGAGGTGGTTTGATGAGGTCCACACCTATGGAGCATATTGCAAGGGTACAAGTCAAATCTATCAAGTATAGAACACAAATGTCTTAACACAGTGATTAAGTGAATGAGGTGAAAGCTATGTTTATTGGTTAGATTTAAGCACTCTGATTTGTACAAAGAATCAACACATGGAATCCTAAACAGGCCTAAGTGTATTCATGATCTATGTCTATATGAGTTAATAAAAGGAAAAAAAAGAAAACATATTTAGTGAATACCATTTGAAGAACTGATGGAAATGCACAATAAGAAAAATATTTCTTGCTCTTTATTCCAGAATTCTATATTAAAGATTATAAAATGAAGGCATGATCCAAGGTGCTGTGACTGTAGGAAATGGGATTTGAATAGTCCAAAACCAGGCTTCCCCAAGAAAATGTTGCTTGAGGCAACTCACATATATCATAAAATTTACCCTTTTAATTATAAAATGTGGGTTTGGGTACACTTAGAGTTATCCAACCATCTTCACCACTGAATTCCAGAACCTTTTCCTCTCCCAAAGAGAAACTCCATACCTATGAACTGTCAGCCCCTATTCCCTCTCCCTAGGCAAACACTAATCTATCATCTGTCTCTATGAATTTGCCTATTCTAGGTCTTTCCCATAAATCACAAATCTATGGCCTTTTGTAACTACCTTCTCACTTAGCATGTTGTCACAGTTCATTCATGTTGAAGCCTGTATTAGTGCTGCTCCCATTTTCATTGCTGAGTAATACATGATAGAATTCACACTTGAATCCTATGCCTGACTCAAGATCCTTTATTTAAGACAATTTCTCTGTTGCCCAGGCTGGAGTGCAGTGGCTGATCAAACACTTCAACTTCAAACTCCTGAGTTCAATCGATCATCTGAATTAGCCTCCCAAGTACCTGGGGCAATAGCATGTACCTCCGTGCCCAGCTTTAAGAGCCCTTAATTGTGAACCATAGGCTTTATCCCTCATTTGAATGACTTGTGCAAGGCACACCTAAGAGTAAAGAGGAGAAATGAGACCAGAGTCCATACCCTGAGAGGTTGGATCATTACTCACCACCATAGCACACTCTGCTGAGCCAATGACCACCTTGTTCCAAACTAATGAGAAGATGAAATATGGCATGACTAAGCCCAACTTGGGAGTTTAGGGGGATGTCTGACATCTCTGATTTGAATAGCAAATGCCAATTTTTTGTTCTCTTTTCCAGAAATTTCTCAAGCTACAAAACAAGATGGTGCTACAGCAGCAGAGACGAAAGAACAAGGTGAGGAAAAACATACTGATTCATTTGTTGCCACCCTGGCAGGAAGTCAAGTGAGAGAAATCTCTCTAGCTCAGGTGGGTGGGAGAGGGTGTCCTGCTTTCCCTCTTCATCCTCTTGTCAGTCCTACCACTAAAAGCACTTGATCAATACCACAGATAGAGCTATGTCTGGTCACTGTGATTATCTCCAGTTAGATTTTTTTTCTCAGATAGTCTTACTGTCACCCTCGGTAGAGTGCCATGGCATCATTGCTCACAGCAACCTCAAACTCTTGGGTTCAAGAGATCCTCTTGCCTCAGCCTCCCCAGTAGCTGGGACTATGGGCACCCACCAGAATGCCCAGCTAGTTTCTCTATTTTCAGTGGAGACAAGGGTCTCACTCTTGCTCAGGCTGATCTCAAACATCTGAGCTCAAGCAATCCACCCACATCTCGGCCGCCCAGAGTGCTAAGATTACAGGTGTGAGCCAGTGTGTCTGGTTTCTAGTCAAATTTTATAGAAATCCAAAGAACCCTTAATTGCAGTGGACTCAGACATGAAGTGTAAGCTTTTGAGAGCATGTGTGAAACATGCAGCTGAGAGTAGTCAAGTGATCACAATCAGTAGTAATTTTCTTAATTCTTTCTATCAACCAATATTGAGTGAATGCCTGCCACTGAAGAACTGTGATAGAATTATACTGGAAAGAAAAATATATTTCTTGCCCCCATGATATAGTTTAGAGTTACATATTAATTAAGCCAAAGTCATGAAATGAAGATATGACCCAAAGTGTTATGACTGTGTGCAATGGGGAGAGCCAGGGAAGTACTGCCCAAGATAGTTTACATACTAGGAAATTCACCCTTCTGAAGTGAACACCACAATCATTTTTAATATATTTAATTATCCAACTTGACCATTAATTCAAAGTATTTCTTTCCCAAAGAGAAACCCTATACCCATGAGCAGTCCCTCCCCATTTCCTCCCTAAGCCTCTAAACCCCAGACAACCACTAATCTATTTTCTCTCTAAAAACTTGCCTGCTCTGGATTTTTCATATATATGGAATCATCCATTACATGGCTCTTTGTTACTGGCTTCTTTAACTTAGCATGTTTTCAGAGTTCACTCATGCTACAGTACACATGGGCACTTCGTTTTCATTCCTGAGTAATATTCTCTCACGTAGGCCTACCTCATGTTCTTTATACACTCTTTAATTGATGGGAATTCAGATTCCTCTTGACTATTATAGATAGTGCCACTCTGCACACTTGTGTAATCCAAGTGATTTGGCTTGTGTGTGATACTCAAGATAAAAAATGCATGGAACTTTGGGGCTTGGAAGAAAGGCTTTGGTAATTGGTCTAGACTGCTTTTGAACAGTCTAGATGGTGACACAGGAAATTGAAGTTTCAAGCCCTGAATTCACCTCAAGCTGGGCTTTTATTCTACCTGCACAACCTATATTGACCCTGTGTGGGTTTTTCAAATATTGGCAAAATAATAGTTTAAATTGGGATGACTATTAAAAATACAAATATTAGTGAATTTGTACAAATTTCTAGAATACCTACCATGGGACAGGCCCTGATCTCCACATTTTATGATTATTATACCTTCACACCAACCTCACAGCAGGAGATATTAATAACTCCATCTTATATTAACAACTACCACAGAGGATTAACATAAATCTAAAATGGCAGTGAGCTTAATATCTATTCCAAAGTAAGGTCATGAACATAAGATTTATCTCTAATTACCACTTAGAGAAAACTTTAAGTTTAGGGCTGCAGATGAAAGATGAAGTGAGCTTTTGAAGGATTGAACTTGAGGTCCCTGTTGTCCCTCAAGGTGGTGAGTTAGACACATGAGCCTAGGACTTTAGGAAAGGAGTACCCATTAGAAAGAGGCTTAGAACTCTTTACCATGGATGCAGTGTTTAAATCCATAGAAGAAAAAGTGAGACAAGACGAACAGGCCAGGTTCAGCTGCATACTGTCTTCCTGGGGTTTCCCCCTCCCCCTGTGAAAACCTGCACTCTGGTAGTATAGCCAGCCAATTTAAGAACTAATCAGTCTGAACTCAGCAGATAGGGCTAAAATGCCAGCTATACTTCTGTGATTTCAGTGCAGGACTGTTAATGGCACTCTCTCTGATTCCATGGGTTCTGCCTTCAAAGATTCAACCAACTTCAGATTGTGGAATTTTTCCCCCCAAAGTATTTTCAAAGTTCCAAAAAGCAAAATTACACATGCTGAGTAGTGCTACATTAAATCCACATTAATGAAGAGATGTGCAGGCATTGTATTAGGTATTATAAGTAATCCAGATATGATTTTAAAGTGTATGGGGGGGGGATGTACAAATACCTACTTTACAAAAAGGACCTGAGCATAAATTTTGGTTTTTGGCTCTAGCACCTTCCTTTCCCAATCTCATAAATACCAAGGATACAGTAAGGAAGTAAACTTTAGAACTCTTTCATAGAAATTTCATGTAGAGCTAATAATTACACATTAGAGCAGGAAGAATTCTCTTTTTATTTTAATAGAGATAAGGGTCTTACTATGTTGCCGAGGCTGGTCTCAAACTTCTGGGCTCAAGATATCTTCTCACTTCAGCCTTCCACGTAACTGGAACAACAGGCATATGCCACCATGTCTAGCCACTTTCTTTAAAAAGAAGTGCATACACATAGTATGTGTTGTATGGTCCCAAGATGTGACTTTTTATTAAATCATAGCTGTGTACATTAATGCAAACATGGGGTACATGACTTTTTTCATGTTCATTGAGTACCTATTGGGTACTGAAGAGGTTAAAGATACTTTTTGTATGTAGTTTACATTGTAAGCTTGGGGCTAGACAATGCATAAAAAAAATAGTGTGTGATAAATGTTGGCATAAAGATAAACAGGGTAATATGAAAGAATTAGGGTTTGCAATAGGCTTCAGTTATCATATTTGCCAAGTCCTCTGTTAAATGTTAAATGCACATTCTTAAAATCTTTATTGAGTAGGGAATCTGAGTGGCAATTTGTCTTGAATCACATAGCTACTCCACAGTAGAACTTGGATTCTGGGCAGGGTATGTCTCACTTTCAGACATGTGTTTCCCCATTTTTTTCCCCCCTTTTGAGACAATTCACTATGTCGACCTGGGTAGAGTGCTGTGGCATCCTAGTTCCTAAACTCTCGGGCTCAAGTGATTCCCTTGCCTTAGTCTCCCAAGTAGCTAGTACTATAGGCGTTTGCCACAACATCTGGCTAATTTTTCTATTTTTAGCAGAGACAAAGTCTCAGTCTTGCTCAGGCTGGTCTCAAACTCCTGAACTCAGGAGATGTCCCTGCCTCAGCCTCTTAGAATGTTGGGAACATAGGTGTGAGCCATCGTGCCCAGCCAACACCCCCTTTTTGTTAATGAGTCAGGGTCTTGCTCTGTTGTCCAGGCTAGAGTGCAGTGATGTCTTCATATTTCATTATAAACTTGAATTCCCAGTCTCAAGCAGTGTTCCTGTCTCAGCTCCCAAATAGCGAGGACTGTAAGTGCATGCCACCATGTCCAGCTACTGTTTTTTTTTTTTTTTTTTTTTTACACAGTGTCTCACTATCGTCTAGCCTGACCCCAAGTGATCCTAACACTTTGGGAGGCAGAGATGGGAGGATCACAGGCACGAGCCACTATACTGAGGCTCCCCTTATGTATAGCAGGTGTTTCTTCCTTGTAGCTTAGGGATGGAACCGGGTACATGATGCATGCCTAGCCTTTGGGTGTAGGACTTGGGTCATGGTGCACATACCTTCTCAGTTCTCCAAGCTTCTATCTCTGAGACAACATACAAATGTTTGGCATAGATTATTCATTTCATAAATACTTGGGTTCTCAGTGTATGAAGCACTATCGTAAATACTGAAGATCCAAGTGAGTGAGAAAGTTCATGCTAGGATGGGCATGGTGGTACTCACTTCTAATCCCAGCACTCTGGGAGACTGAGGCAGGAGAATCCCTTGAGCCAGGAATTGGAGATTGCAGTGAGCTCTCATGCCACTGCACTCTAGTCAGTGACAGAGGATGACTTTGTCTCAGAAGTTTATGCATGCTTGTCTCTATCGGAAAATAATAAGCTAACAGATAAGTAATGCATCAGATATTAAGTGTTAAAAAGAGTGATCAGGTTGAAGAGACAAAGAAGAGCTATTTTGTGACATGTTCATATGCTCCTGAGGAAGTAATCTTTGAAACTTCTCAACAGCATGTTACTAAGAAGTAAAGACCCATGTGCAGGGGCCATCTGGCTGAGCACCCACTGATTCTAGGTCTACAGTTTTTATCGTATTTTTTAACTGAAAGTCAGACTTCAAGTCATTCTTATTTTTTCTTCTACCCTGTCCATGCAGGTGACAAATGGACCTACAAGCGCCACGTGATGACCAAATTCTCCACGAAGATGAGTGTGTATCATGGTTCTGAAAGATCTGCTTCTGAGTGGCCAGAAGTGCAAATATTGGCTAGTGCTTTTACTCCAGACCAGGGGGGCTTCCAACCTCTCACTGTGGTTCTGCATGGAAAATCAGGAATTGGCAAATCAACTTTGGTCAGAAGGATCATGCTGAGCTGGGCGAGAGGTGACCTCTACCAGGGCACATTCTCCTATGTCTTCCTTCTCCATGCTAGAGAGATAGAATGGAGGCGGGAGAGCAGCTTTGCAGAATTAATTTCCAGGGAGTGGCCAGACTCCCAGGCTCCAGTGTTGGAGATCCTGTCCCAACCAGAAAGGCTCTTGTTTGTACTTGATAGTTTTGATGACATGGACTCTGCCCTCAAAAATGGTGACCCACGGCTCTGTGAAGACTGGGGCACAAGGCAGCCCACGTTCATCCTGATACGCAGTCTGCTGCGGAAAGTCCTACTCCCCAAGTCCTCCCTGATAATCACTGTCCGGGATGTGGGCTTAGACAAGCTTAAGTCGGTGGTCGTGTCTCCCCGTTACCTGTTGGTCGGAGGGATCTCAGTGGAAAAAAGGCTTCAATTACTCCTTGAGCACATTCCTGATGAGCATCAAAAGATGCAAGTCTTGTGTCTGGATAATTGTGAGCTGTTGGACCAGTGCCAGGTTCTCACTGTGTGCTCGCTAATCCGTAAAGCTCTGGAGCTGCAGAAGACAGTGGGAGGAAGCAGCACCCCTGTGTGCCAGACTCTCACCGGCTTGTATGCCACTTTCATGTTCCATCAGCTCACACCACAAGAGATGTCCAAGCCCTGTCTCAGTCGGGAAGAGAGAGCTGTCCTGAAGAGCTTGTGCCGTATGGCTGTAGAGGGTGTGTGGGACATGAAGTCCGTGTTTGACAGCGATGACCTCATGGTACACGGACTCAGAGAGGACGAGCTCTGCGCCCTATTTCACATGGACATCCTCCCCCGAGACAGCCACTGTGAGGAGAGTTACACTTTCTTCCACCTCAGCCTCCAGCACTTTTGTGCTGCCTTATACTATGTCCTGGAGGGACTGGACCGAGAGGGTATCTGCCCTCTGTTCATTGAGAAGATAAAGAATTTGATGGAGCTGAAACAAACAGGCTTCAATACTCACTTACTTTGGATGAAGCGTTTCTTGTTTGGCCTCATGAGCAGGGATGTGCTTCAGTCCCTGGAGAGGCTCCTCGCCTGCCCCATCCCCGTAACAGTGAGACAGAAACTCCTGCACTGGGTCTCACTGTTGGGTCAGCAGCCCGGCCCCACTGCCCCAGTGGATACCCTGGACTCTTTCCATTGTCTGTTCGAGACTCAGGACGAAGAGTTTGTTTGCTTGGCATTGAACAGCTTCCAAGAAGTGTGGCTTCCAATTAACCAGAAAATGGACTTGATAGTATCTTCCTTTTGTCTCCAGCGCTGTCAGCATTTACAGAAAATCCGGGTTGATGTCAAAGAGATCTTCTCCAGGGAGCAGACAATGTGGCCTGGGATTCCCCATTGGTGAGTGCCTCTTATGACTTTATCCTATACCATCTACTGAGCCCCTCTGTTCTTATCGTTGGAATTTGACATGACTTCCAGAAGTGTCAGGGGCCCAGATAGTCACCCAGGTGGGGTCCAGCTGGCCAAAATGACAGCTCCTATCAGTGTGATCAATCTCCAGGGCAATCTCCAAGATTCCTTGTCTGATAGCACAGCCACCCGTGCCTGTTGAGTATTTGTGGTGAGACAGGAAGTAAAGGTTTAAATATTTTATGCCATTTCAATGTATTGATATTTACATAGCCACATGTAGCTGGTGCGTACTGTATGCAAGAGTGCAGGTCTACAAAATATACTTTTCTGTACTGTCCAATGTACTGTCCAAACATCTGTCATTTCATTGCCCACCATAGTGCACCAGTCAAGAACAGGAGTGAACCCCAAGCAGTGGCAGGGATCCATAGACCCAGCTAGTAAGGAGACTAGAGCAAGAAGATTGCTAGAGCCCGGGAACTGGAGTCCAGCCTGGGCTACATAGCAAGACCCCAGTCTCAGGAAAAAAAGTGGACTTTGCCACCTCTCTACTAGTAAATTGTCAGCTGTGTTTCTTGGATGTGAAATAATGGAGCATGACATAGTCTGCCTCAACTTTTGGTCTCTGGGACTTTTTCACCTTGTATAACTGAAACTTCACATCTCTGAACAGTAACTATTTCCTTCCCCTCCGCCTGCAAGCCCTTGGAAACCACCATTCTACTTTGTTTCTATGAATTTGACTATTTCATATATTTCATACAAACAAGTATGTAGTATCTGCCCTTCTATGACTTATTTCACTTAGTATAATGTCCTCCTGACTCATCCATATTGTCAAATGGCGGGATTTCCTTCTTTACTTTTTTTTTGAGACAGAGTTTCACTTATTAACACTCAGTAGAGTGTGGTGGCATCACAGCTCACAGCAACCTCCAACTCCTTGGGCTTAGGCGATTCTCTTGCCTCAGCCTCCCGAGTAGCTGGGACTACAGGCCCCTGCTACGACGCCCGGCTACATTTTTGTTGCAGTTTGGCTGGGGCTGGGTTTGAACCCACCACCCTCAGTATATGGGGCCAGTGCCTTACTGAGCCACAGGCACCGCCCATGGATTTCCTTCTTTAAGGATGAATAATATTCCATTGTACATACCACATTTTCGTCATCCATTTGTCCACTACTGGATATTAGATCATTTCCACATCTGAGCTATTGTGAGTATTACCGCAATGAATATGGGACAGCAAATATCTCTTTAGGATTCTGATTTCAGTTCTTTAGTGTTTTAGTTCCCAGAAGTGGGATCACTGGGTCCTATTCTTTCAAAATTTTCAAGGAACCTTTGCTTGAGGAATACTGCTTTCCATCTTGGTTACACTCTTTTACATTAGAGGGAGAGCTAGAATTTAAGCAAAAACTGATTCAAGAGCTGGTAGCCCCTAATCATTGTATCAAAATATCCAGGAGGCACATGGACATAGAGCCAGCCACACAAAGCATGAGGTTGTGTCTACCTAGTTGGCCTCAAACACTGTGAAGCTATCCCTGTCTCCTTAGGCTGGTTCCTGTCCTGACACTGTCACAGCCACAGTTCATGTTAAATCCATTTCATGAAAGCACATGTTTCTCTCTGTGGTTTAGGATGCAGAATAAGGTCTTCATTAATGAACAGTGGAAAAATTTCTGCTCCGTGCTCTGTACCCACCCAAACCTGCAACAGCTGGACCTGGGAAGCAGCATTCTGAACGAATGGGCCATGAAGGCACTCTGCGCCAAGCTGAAACATCCAACCTGTAAAATACAGAATCTAACGTAAGGCTGCCTGGCCCTGCTATGAGAAAATCCCTTCCCATGAATCTCCTGTCCCACAGCCCCTCCCATCTATTGAGAGAAGAGCCTTCTGTAGCCCCACAAACATATTCTATGAAAGAGGCAGGAATAAAGTTCCCAAAAGCACAGAATGGAAAGTGACTAAAAGACCCTGTGAAAGGATTACTGAAGGCCCCATCTCTACTAAAAAGACAAAAACGAGCTGGGCATGATGGTGGGTACCTGTAGCCTCAGCTACTCGGGTGGCTGAGGCAGGATGATTGCTTGAGCCCAAGAGTTTGAGGCTGCAGTAAGTGAGAGTGATGCCACAGCACTCTCCCCAGGGCACAGAATAAGAGTCTGTCTCAAAAGTAAATAAAATGAAATACAAAGAATTAGAAAGTTGAAAACTAGAATGGGAGAAGAGAGAGAAGGAAAAGTGGGACTATGCATGCAGCATACAGCAGTGTCTAAGTCTTTTCAGCTTTTTCATTTTCTACAGGTTCAAAAATGCACAGATTATGTCTGGTCTTCAATATCTCTGGATGACTCTCATCACCAACCGCAACATAAGGCACCTCAACTTGGGAAGCACCTACCTGAAGGATGAAGATGTAAAAATAGCATGTGAAGCCTTAAAACACCCGAATTGTTTGCTAGAGTCTTTAAGGTAGGTCTTGGGCAGAGTCTTTTGCCTTTTGCTGCTTTGCTTGTTTTTACTTTTTATTTTGAAATAATTAAAGGAAGATGGGAGAGATCTGATGGTAGATGGTGGTATTTGCACAGCAATGCATCTAATGCCCCTGGACTGTATACATAAAAATAATAAAAATAAATTTTGTGTGTGGAGAAGGGAACACTTATGCTGGTGGAATTGCAAATACAGCCTTTTTGGTAAGAAATATGGAGAATCCTCAAACAGCTAAAGTTAGACCTCGCATTTGATCCCTGCTTCATGGGTATTCTAATATTCCAGTCCTCACAAGCATCATTGAGGGTGGTGGTATCGTTATCGCCATTTTCCATGTGGCAAACTGGATCACAGTAGACATTAAGCTACTGTGATTAATTAAGGATTGCTGGCTGGAGGGGAGGGCAGGTATGCATTCAAATTTCTTTTTTTTTGAAACGGAGCCTCAAGCTATCCCCCTGGGTAGAGTGCCATGGCATCACGCTCACAGCAACCTCCAACTCCTGGGCTCAAGCGAGTCTCCTGCCTCAGCCTCCCAAGTAGCTGGGACTACAGGCGCCCGCCACAATGCCTGGCCATTTTTTGGTTGCAGCCATCATTGTTGTTTGGCGGGCCCGGGCTGGGGATTCGACCCCGCCACCTTAGGTGTATGTGGCTGGCACCATAGCCGCTTGAGCCACAGGCGCCGAGCCACATTCAACTTTCATAAATGCCACCAGTCATCTCAGGAAGGTGTGCCTTTCAGCAAATGCTTGAGCCCCCGCTGTGTACTAGGTATTACAATAACTGCTACAGATGCAGCAGGAACAGAGGGGTCTCTCTGCACACAGATGGCATGTTCTAGGCAGGAAGATGAACAATAAACAAGTGTAAATATAAACATGTGAAAGGTTGGCTAGGGACCATTGTTATGAAGGTGAGAACATTGAATAGCGGGGAGTGGAGTGAGTCTGGGTGGGCACAGTTTGGTAGGGGAGTCAGTCTAGCTTACTCCCCAAAGACGTGGTGTTTGAGAAACCAGAATGTAGAAATGAATAACACAAAGGCCCGGGAGGGTCGGGGGATATTTCAGCTGCTCAGACTGTGGGGCAGCACCATCCAAGGACCAGGAAGTGGCCAGAAGCAGGTACACAGAGTGAGGGGGAGTGGCTGCTGCCGGCAAGGGTGGGGTCATGAGTCATGTTGCCTGTTCCTGCAGGTTGGATCACTGTGGACTGACTCACACCTGTTACCTAATGATCTCCCAAATCCTCATGTCCACCAGCCTGAAATCTCTCGGCCTGGCAGGAAATAAGGTGACAGACCAGGGCATGAAGCCCCTCTGTGATGCCTTGAAGGCTCCACAGTGCACCCTGCAGAAGCTGATGTGAGTTCCCCAATACTGTCATCAGGGAACTGGGCCCTCCAAGTGATGGGGGAGAACTGGCAGGTCCATATACCCAGGTGAGTGTAGGAGCTGGGACCTCTTAGGTGTGCCCCAGTGCTAGGAGTGAGACAGACCAAGTAAGACACATCTGTCCTTACTACCCAGCCCTACATGGATGTAACAGATGAGAGCAGGAGATAGCCAGGTGGAAATTAGTGACTTCCTCACCCATACAGCCATCCTAAAGCACAAGGCTGATGTATGTGGCCATGCGGGTTAGTGACTTCTTCACCCAGCACTGCAGAAACATCCCCACCCTGCTCCTTAAGGACCTTGATGGGGTCAGGCTCCTCAGTGCTGGGTAGGGTTCCAATGACTGTGTGTTCTAGGGTACTGGGCACAGACAAGGCCCACAAAAGGGGCTCTGAGCAGAGAATTACCTGGAACCCCAGTCAGAATGTAGCTACCTCCTCCCATGGAGAAGAGGGCACCACAGCAGGGACAAACCAGGCATGTTATTTGAGAGAAGTGGGTGTACATGGGAGTCCCCCATCCTGAGCACACAGGTTCAAAATTATGTCACTTTCTTACTAATAACTCATCCCATGGGACGTGGGAAGCATCTATGAAATGTTTGAGCTGAGCCAAGCACAGCCACATCTACTTCATTTAGCTCCATGGAGCTGTTTCAGGGACTATTAACTCTACTGTTAGAGGAGGACATAGCTTCAGAAAGGCTGAATCACAGTGATGTGGCAGGATTCAAAGCTGCAGGTGGTTCTGTAGAGAGGGGCCATCTGATATGGTTACCAGCTGAGTGTGGCTATCAAAATTTAAATTAAACATAAAATTCAGTTTCTCAGTTACACTAGACCTATGTCAAGTGTTCAATAGCCACTTGAGGCTAATGGTTACCATTCTGATAGCATTATACTTGTGAATAGGAAAGTCCCTCCTTTTGGCAAAGCCTAGCTTATTCCCTAAGCCAGTGGTTCTCAACCTTCCTAATGCCACAAACCTTTAATACAGTCTAAAGGGGTTGCAACCCCCGAGTTGAGAATTGCTATCCTAGGCCATGTGGGTACTAGAAATAGCCAATTAGGAGTCACACTCCCCAGATTATCAAATCTAATTGCCCGCAATGCAATTTAGGGCATTGGGGGGCTGAAGCACAGAGTTGAGTTTGTAGTCAGAAGCAGATGTGACCTTACTATTCTCCTGCAAGGACACATCAACTGTGTGGGTGATGTTTCTTTCACCTCCTTACAGAGGAAGGACAGTGACACTTTAAGACCATCTCTTCCTTTCCCCACGGGGCTTTCCTCTGCAGGTTGGAGAACTGCAGCCTCTCAGCCCTCAGCTGCCAGGTCCTGGCCTCAGCCCTTGTCGGCAACCGGAGCCTGACGCACCTGTGCCTGGCAAACAACTGTCTGGGGAAAGAGGGTGTGAGCCTGCTGAGCCGGTCCCTGAGGCTGCCGGGCTGCAATCTACGGAGGCTGATGTGAGTTGCTTTCTAACCAAAGCACAATGGGGCTGGGCTCATGCCTGTAATCCTACCACTCTGGGAGGCCAAGGCGGGAGGATCCTTGAGCTCAGGAGTTCAAGACCAGCCTGAGCAAGAATAAAACTATGTCTCTATTAAAAACAGAAAATTCAACTGGGTGTTGTGGCAGGTGCTTATAATCCCAGCTACTTGGCAGGCTATAGCAGGAGGAGTGCTTGAGCCCAGGAGTTTGAGGTTGCTGTGTGAGCTAAGCTGACTCCATGACAAGAAGTGGGGGAAGTAGGAACCATTACAATGGAAGGACCTGTTGTGTGCTGGATCCTGTCTCTATAGTCATCTCTGAGATTTCATCCTTCCTTGGAAAATCCCACCACTGTCTCCATATTTTCATATCATTCAGAGTCAATTCTCATAATTCAAGGTAAGGTGGCCATGTTCTGTAAAGTCCCCTTCAAGTATGGATATAGCCAACCTGAGCCAGGGGTTGGGAGTATATATTTAGGTTTTTCTGAGCCTCTGGTCATACGCTCATCAACCAGATACTGATCCTTTGCACCGTCTTTAATACTTAGTGTTGATTCATTAACATCCAGCTCGCAGCATCTCCTACCTGAATGGTTTTTCTGATACACCCAAGGGACAGTAATCCACCCAGACAGTACTTCAGCACTGTGCTTGGAGTCCACTCTAAACAAGAAAATCATCAAAACACAAAATAATTGACTAATGCAACACTTAACACCTCTCAAAGGACACATGGTTGTGGTGTAAAAACTGAAATTCAGGCTCAACTGGAAACACGAGGCATGACAACTCCAGCCTCTCTGTTCTGAGTGAAAGCAGGTTGGGAGGACCTGGAGTGCTGCCAGTATTGATTGAGTTTTGGGTGATTACCAATAAACTCTAGCAAGTAGGAAAACTCACAAATACAGACTTGTGGACAATGAGAATGAGGGCTAGTTGTATTTATAAGCACCTGCTATGGGCAGACACTTAGCTGCTAGTGACACAGAGATGAAGGGGCAATGTTCCTACTGTATAGAGCTCCTGGCGAGAGAGGTAATAAGACTTTCAGATGACAGTGGTGATGCAGACCAAAGCCATAGCCACGTAGACTGATGTGAACAATGTCCTCTAGCTACTGTTCAAGATGTCTGCATAACTGCTAAATTGTCCCTCTGTGCTGGCAAATTACTCCTTTGTTGTAAATCTTTGTCGTAACTGTGAGAATGAAAGATTTTTGTTCCTGTTTAAAATAGTTTTCCCTTAGTATCTGGGCAGGGAGTTTTCTAGGGATTCCTCCCTCCAGATACCAAACTCCAGGGATGCCCAGACTCCTCATGTGACATGGCATCTTTTCATATGACTGTGCACATCCTTCTATATGCTTTAAATCATCTCTAGGTTACTCATAATACCTAATACGATGCAAATGCTATGCAAATAGTTGTTATATTGTGGTTTTAGTTGTATTCTTTTTTATTGTATTTTTGGAGATTTTTAAAAATTTTGGCCCATGGTTGAATTTGCAGGTACAGAGGGCCAACTGGACTATCCTATCCACTTACTCTGCTTTGGGGTCACTCTGCTTTCTTGACCAATTAGTCTACCAATAATTTCATATGAAGAAAAAAGTAAATGTGTTAATGCTAAACATGTACCAGAAATTCTGTTAAAGTCTATAAATGTACCCTAGGAAGAAAGGACAGGGAGAAGCTGAGTCATGGTAGGTCGAATAATTTCCCACCCCCCAAAAGACATCCATGTCCTGAATCCCTGTGAATATGACCTTACATAGCAAAAAGGGCTTTGCAAATGCACTTAAGCATTGGGGCAGGAGTTACCTTGAGTGGATTTTCTGGGTAGCCCCAAGGCAATCATAGGGTTCTTTATTAAAGAGGAGGAGGCATTAGGAGAAGGTGAGGGACAGAAACTCCCCTCTGGCCTCCAGAAGGAAGGCAGCCCTGCCACACCTTGACTTTAGTCCAGTGAGACCTCTGACCTCCAGAGCTATAAGATGACAAATGTGTGTTGTAAGCAACTAAATTTGTGGCCATTTGTTTGACCAGCTATGGGAACTACGTGGAATAGGGTAAAAAGGTCCTCAGACAATGAAGCACATCTGGCACAGTGTTATGCCAGTTCTTTGTGCCTATCATTCTGATCCTGACTTTGTTTATAAACAAAAGCACTTTAACATCTGGTGAATTCATGTTTTTTTCTTTTAAAACTATAAGATTAATTGCAAGTATTTCACTACTTATTTCCTGCCCAAAATAAGAGCTGAGAGTATGAAGGTGGCAGATAAATTGGATTCGGAAGGGATTTAAGCCCACAGCTGTGTCAAGCACAACCGTGATCCCCTCCCCATACAAGAACACCTGAGTCTGGGAGAAGGGGCCACAGTTCACCAAGTTCACCAGAGGTATAGCCCTCTTCTCCGTGTGTGTCCCGTAGACTAAATCATTGTGGCCTGGACATAACTGGCTGTGGTTTCCTTGCATTTGCACTGATGGGCAATGCACGCCTGACACACCTGAGCCTGAGCCTGAACCCCTTGGAGGATGATGGGATGAAGCTTCTGTGTGAGGCCATGAGGGAACCATCTTGTCAGCTGCAGGACCTGGAGTGAGTTCCCTGTGGGGGCTGGGAACCAACTTTTCCATGTTGGGGGTCCTTAAAAGATCAAGAGACTGGAACCAAAAACTTCCAGACTCCATGAATACTCTTGCTTCAGTGGGTACTAGAGGTAAGCTGACATGTTGATGTCACCATGAGTGCAGAAAGGGCAGAGAAATTAATCTGAACAGGAACCCCAGACAGAAACTGAGTTCTGAGTCATCCTTGGTGCCTAGTCCCCATTCAGAGTCAGGAGGGGTTCGTGTTGCCTGAAATCTCCAGCTATTCAAATGAATATAGAAATAAGGAATGCTTTCTATCGCTAAATCTCTTTCCCTCCAGGACTCGCATCTCTTTCCCTCTGGGGCTCAAATTTCTTCATCCCCTTTTGGAATATTGCTATTTAATAGGAGTATTCAGCTCGGCACCTGTGGCTCAAGTGGCTAAGGTGCCAGCCACATACACCTAACGTGGCGGGTTCAAATCCAGCCCAGCCTGCCAAACAATGATGGCTGCAACCCCCCAAAAATAGCCGGGTGTTGTGGCGGGCACCTGTGGTGCCAGCTACTTGGGAGGCTGAGGCAGGAGACTCACTTGAGCCCAGGAGTTGAAGGTTGCTGTGAGCTGTGATGCCACAGCATTCTACCCAGGGGGACAGCTTGAGGCTCTGTCTCAAAAAAAAAAAAAAAAAAATGGGAGTATTCCGTCATTAACCAGACTCTAGAAAAATTAGAAGATTTCAATGAGTAGGGATGAGCATTCAGTCTCAAGTTGCCATCACCTTAGTAGTATGGATGTCTCCTGGGATTTTTTTCTAGATGCATACATGCATTGAATGTTTTACAAAGAATTAGTGATTAGCACACAATGCGGACACAGGACTCTGAACATTGTGTCTAAACCTCTTCTAATCTCCCACCACCACAAACCTTACCACAGTCTGTCTTTGGGGATATGCAGATTATAAAGGAAACAAGGTAGCCATTCCATTTAATTGGAGTTCCATGACAGTAACCATCTCTTAAACCTGCTCAAGCATAAGTCCAGTGTTTTAGTCAAAATAGCCCTATAGATCTTTTATGTACGTGGCAGTATTTTTATCAATTGCAAAGGTATGTCTAACAGATCCAAAAATGGGACTGTTTTGAGATCATTCCCTTCCCAGTAATGAAAGAAGTTGAATACAGATGATAGGTCACAAACTTCCGGTGCTCCTGAACGTTAACTCCTCTTTATTTTTAGTAAAGTGGTGTTTGAAGCCCTACTTCCACATGATATAGAAACCATCTTAGTCAGAGAGATCCTTTCTTTGGGGTCACGTTTAAGTGCAGTGTGACCAGTATGACAGGTTCTCCCTGTCATTGATCCGTGCTAGTGTCAAGACATGGTCATCCCCACCTGGTCTCCAGGTGGGAACCCACACAACAGACAACCTCCCATACCTCCCTCAGCCCCAGAGGGACATACCCCTTTGTGTTCAGTGTACTAAGGGCATGATAATAGGGGACAGGAAAGCTATTCCAGTCACTTCTACTCAGATAAACTGTCCAGCCATTATTGGGAACTTTTCTACCTGTCCCACGTGAGAATAGACATTAAACTGCTCCCCCCGGGCCCTCAGACTCTGTTTCAGTAACTTTTGTCACCTTTTCTCTTCCTCTCAGGACACTACCATCTTCTACTCATACTGCTTTCTCTCTTCTTCCCCTGTCATGGAGAGCTTGAAGCAAACTCCAAATGGCAAATAAACTCTTAAGTTTATTAAGAGTTTAATGGCAAATTAAACTCTTCTTCAGAAGAGTTCTTCCTAAAGAAGAACTCTTTTATTGCCTTTTATCTTCTTTAGATACCAAAAGGTATCTTCAGTCATACCAAACATCTCCCCCACCCTCCACAATCATCCCTTTCCTAAGCCAACAGATACCAGGCACACTAAGCCACTCCCAGTATGGACAGAACTGTCCCTTGTCAGGAAGGGATGAAGGGAATCCCCCACTCATAGTTCTAAACCTTCTCGCTGCAGCCCATGTTCCTCAGAAGTCACAAACCTACTCTTCCCCATGTCTCACAGGTTGGTGAGGTGCCAACTCACTGCCACGTGCTGCACAGATCTGTCCTATGTGATCTCAAGAAGCAAATACCTGAAGAGTTTGGATCTTGCTGCCAACACCCTGGGTGATAGTGGGGTCATGGTACTGTGTGAGGGGCTGACCCAGAAGAAGAGCTTGCTGACCAGACTCGGGTAACCACCTGCTGGGGTCACCTCTTTAGGGGTCAATCTCTGATGGGGGGCTACCCAAGCTTGACATTGATGTCCTCATTTTCATGCCTCCCTCAAGTGAGGCAGGATATAATGTGGGCAGTCACAGGTCTGGACGCAAGTCCCAGGTCCACACCTGTTTGAGATGAAGTAGCAAATGCTGGAGAGAGGCCTGGAGGTAGGAAGCCCTTAGGGTCCTCATTGCACACCCCTGTGTGCCAGGGTGGTGTTGAATGGTGGGAGTCCAGAGGTAACGAGCTTGGCTTCATCAGATACAGGCAAGAGCAAGTGATCACGCTGGTGGTTCTCAGCAGGGACTATTGTTCAGTCCCAAAAAGGAGTGAAGTGTGACACAGATACAACATGAATGAGCCTTGACCATGTGATGTTAAAGAAGCCAGTCACAGTCATGTGGTGTGAGTCTGTTCATAAGAGAGATCCAGAACTGTCACAAAGAGACAGAAAGTAGATTTAGGGGTCTCCAGGGCCAGAAGAGGGACTGCTTTGTGGCTGTAGGGTTTCCTTTTGGGTGACAAAAATGTTCTAGAACGATAAACAGGTGGTGATTGCACAGCACTGTGAACTACTCTAGAATGTGACATTTACTGCTATGTGTTAGTGTTGCACAAATGCTGCTTATAATCCACTGGGGGAGGTCATATTCCCGCTTTATTGAGTAAAGGGCTTAATCTGAGGACCCACTTCCTTCTCTGAGTCACACATTGAGCTCTTTGCCACTTCTTCATTCCCTCCACCTCTGTCTATGTGATCATGTCCCACCTTTAGCTGCTTTCATATTTGACTTCCAGGTTCTGTTATCTATATTAGTCCTAGAAATGCTCCCTCAGTTGTCTCTGCATAAGCGTGTTCACCTACAGATACTCCAAGCTTCAATGAACCCCATTCTCCACCCTGTCCACACCTGCGCTGAGATAGCTAAGAATGGCAGGACTGAAAAAATACAGGGCTGGGTGGGTATCACATGCAGTCAGTAGTCTTTGATGTAAATTTGTTTTCCATGTATTACAGTTTCTGGTTCACTTATTCCCCTACTTCCTGAAATAATGATTTCAAACAAGCTCCATTCTCTGGAGACATTTGGGGCTTGGCTTGTCATTCCTGGTACTTAAAAAAAAAATGACCTTACTACTGCTTTGAATAAATATGAAATCATTTAATTTGGAAAGCCAGTATGCCCCTCCTGTGACACTGAAGAAAGCATTCCTGTGGTGATTCACTTCACCCACATTAGAGGTTCGTTTCCTCCACATTAGGGGGCGGAGTCCCCACAGTCACTCCTCCAGTCACCTGCCTATGCAGCACTTTGTACTGTCATTAGTTTGCCTACCCTTTGCCCAATCCTCAGCCACCCAGCTGATATGTTCTGTCCTTATAAATGCTTAGATATCATTTTAGAAGCAAAACCACAAAGAATATAAGACTTCCTGCTGTCTCCATCATGCTTTCTAGCTATGGGTGGCTAAAACAAGTTGAGGGGCATCTCACAAACTACTTTATCACAAGAATTCCAAAATGCACACTTCTAGATGATTAAGACACTTAAAACCTTATACGTCGACCACCTGGTTTATTAGTGTTTTGCTGCTTCTGGCTGAACTATTTCATAGCAAGTTATGGATTTTTTTTAACATTCTGCCCCCCAAAATATCTCCGCATCTCCAAAATAGAACACTCCTATGCAATAGCATTGTTACAGGTAATGTCACCTGGCTTTCCATTGCTCTTCAGATAAAATCCTAAGTCCTTAATATGACCTAAAGTGTCCAGCCTTGCTTCACACCACTGTCTCTTTGCTCTGGATGTCTGTGTCTCAGCTGTGCCCACCACTTTCCACAGGTGCAGTGTGTGTGCAATTCCTCACATCCACAGGTATATTGATGCATCCTTCCTCCCTTCACCTGCACACTTGTCTCTGTCTTCTGAGTTTTAGAAAATGTCACTTTCTCTGCAAGTCTTTCTCCACCTTCCTTGTTCCTTTGTTCCTTTGTTACAAGTGTTCTCAGCCTTTAACGTTCTTCCTTTTCACTACTACAGTTTGAGTCATCTACCAGCTGTCCGAGTGAGAACCAAGAGTGGTGATTTCACCTGGGAATGCATTAGAAATGCAAATATCTGCATCCCTCCCCAGAATTACTATTTCAGGAACTCGGGACAGGCCCCACTACTGTTGGGGTTATTTTCTTTAATTTTTTAAAACATCAATGTGAAATTCACTTGGATTGATGAAGTCTCCATCATTGACCTTTGGGGTTATTTCTTGGGTGTCCTGAACCTGCAGGTTAGAGGCATGTGGGTTGACATCCGATTGCTGTGAGGTGCTTTCCTCAGCCCTCTCCTCCAACCAGCGGCTGACCAGCATAAACCTGGTGCAGAACAACTTCAGTCCAGACGGGATGATGAAGCTGTGCTCAGCCTTTGCATGTTCCATGTCTAATCTACAGATAATTGGGTAAGTCCTGTGAGATAAACTTTCTCTTAGTATCTTATTATCAGAGAAGTAGTTTATGATGGCAGAAGAGAACATGGCTTGGTGACCACATATTTGTTCAACCAATGATTTGAACACTATCCTGAAGGCCAAGGACACCAGGATTTGGGAGACAGAGGCAAGGCACTTGATACGGAGCTTGTTTTCAGGGGGGTTGGGGAGGATAAAGAGCTAGCAATACAAGTGTTTATGCCCACTTATGCCAACTAGAATTGCAAAACTAGCTATTTTGCTTTTGGCTATATGCCCAAAGGAATTGAAAGTAGGAACTCGAAGAGAGATTTACACACCCATGCTCTTAGCAGCATAATTCACAGTAACAGCCAAGAGGTCGAAGCAACCCAGGTGTTCATGGCCAAGTGAGTAAACAGAATGTAGTATATGCATACGGTGGAATTTTATTCAGCCTTAAAAAGGGAAATTCTAAGACCTGCTACAATATATATGATCTTTGAGGGTCATTATGCCAAGTGAAATAAGCCAGTCACAGAGACATGTGCTGTATGATTCCATACACATGTGGTACCTAGAATAGTCAAATTTATAGAGACAAAGTAAAATGGTGCTTTCCAGGGGAGGCAGGGAGGAAGATTGGGGAATTGTTTAGTGGGTACAAGGTTTAGTTTCACAAGATGAAAAGAGTTGTAAAGATGAATGGTAGTAAACTATACAACAATATGACTAATTAACATTACACTCAAAAATAGCCAGTGGCCAGGCATGGTGCCTCATGTGTATAATCTCAACAGTTTGTGAGGTCAAGGAGGGAAGATCACTTGAGCGTAGGAGTTTGTAGACTAGCCTGAACATGTCTCTCTAAAATTATAGAGATATAACATAGCCAGATCCTGTCTTTATAAAATTAAAAATTGGCTACTGTAATGGTCCATGCCTGTAATCCTAATACTATAGGAGGTCAAGGCAGGAGGATTCCTTGAGCCTCGGGAGTTTTGGATCAGTCTAAGCAAGAGCAAGGCCCTGTCTCTACTGAAAATAGAAAAACTAGGCAGGTATCATGGAGGGCACCTTTAGCCTTAGCCACTCAGGAGGCTGAGGCAGGAGGATCACTTGATTTCAAGAGTTTGAAGTTGCTGTGAGCTATGACACTCCACTCTAGCCTAGAGTAAGACAGTGAGACTGACCCAAAAAAAAAAAAAATTTTTTTTTAAACTGGCCACGCATGGCAACATGTGGCTGTAGTCCCAGCTCCTTGGGAGGCTGAGAAAAGAGGGTATCCTTCAGCCCAGGAATTTGAAGTTATAGTGACCTATGATCTCCAGCCTCAGAAACAGAACAGGACCCTACCCCTGAAACAAAGATAGCTATTTTTGTTTGTATTATGTATTTTACCACAATTAAACATTTATTTAAGATTATTGCAGGTAGTAAATGCAAAGAAGGAAACTGAATAGAATATAGGACTAATTTAGGTTTCATAGTCAGGTGTTCTCACTAAGAAACAGATAACTGAGTCCTCCAGAGCAAAGGAAGCTGTGTAAAGATCCAAAGAATGGGGCCTCTTCTGGCTGAGAGAGGTTGGAAGGCAAAGACTCAAAGACCAGCCGACCTGGAGTAAGAAGAGCAGGAACACTGGCGAAAGATGAAGTTGACAAGACAATTACTATATGGCCATCCTATTCCACACTTATGTAGATAAAAGGACTGCAAAGAGTCAAATACAAACATGTAGCGTACATCCCCAAATAACCAAAAAGTGACAGGAGGGCCTCCTTCCATCAGAGGATGAATGAACAAAATGTGGCATATCCTTACAATGGCAAACCATTTAGCTGTGGAAAGGAACACAGTACTGACACAATGTGGATGGACCTTGATGATGTCATGCTCACTGAAGGAAACCAGGCATAGAAGATCACCCACTGTGAGTCCACTGGTGTGAAATGTCCAGAGTGGGTAAATCCACAGAAGACAGAGTGGGGAAGGGGAGCAAAAAAGTTTAATTGGTACAGGATTTCCCTGGGGGAAGATGAGAATGTTCTAGAACTAGATAGATGGTAGATGCATAGCACACTGGCTGTACTAAATGCTGTTGAACTGCTTGCTTTAAATGGTTCAATTTGCATGGTGTGACTTAATATACTATAGTATCATATATATACTACAGATGCACATGTTCTGTCTTCCAAGAAGCAGGTGGTATTTTTCCCCTGTCATATTCCTTACCCCATGAAGACTACAGATATCAGATTTTCCAGCACTATCTTCAAGCCACTTAGGAGTGGAGGGAAAGGTGGCATGACATAGTCCTTGGCTATGTGTCCAAGATCAAGTCTAAATTCTTTCAGCACTTACCAGTCCTGTGTATGGAGGAAACCATCCCAGTGATGAGAGAAATAAAAGTGTGTGTTCTCTCTCTCAGGCATGGATTCACCCTTAGACTTAAGTGATTTCCCACAAGGTTGCATACAGGCAGCCATCACCCTGCAACATGCTTTTGAACCACTAAGTAGGTCTTAGGAGCTGACAACAAATACAATCTCATGGAAAGTGCAACCTAGCAAAGGATCTAGACAAGACCAAGTCTATGAAGGAAAAGGGCATGATTTGAGGATATAGGACAGTGAGTCTGAGGTCTGGAGGTTTTAGGAAGGGCTCCTTGCAAGATGGGGCATTTTAAGTTGAGACTTATGTATCTGGGGGTTTAACCATCTATGAGTGAAGACCTGAGCTGAATTTTCCCTTTAACTTCTTGCCCTGGACCATGTCTGGAACCAAGTTGCAAGAGAGGACCTTTGATGGGCCCATTGCCCATTCCCCACCTGTAAAATGGGGATGAGCCTGTCTCTACTTAAACACCTGTTCTTTTCTCCTCTCCTGGAATATACAAAAGTGGGGACTTCACCTTGCCTATCACTGCACAGTGAGCCCTCAATCCTATTGATATGTTCTTAGAAACTGCAATTTTAAGTGAAACTGCCTATAAATGAAGCCAATATTGTCCCCATAACACAACATTGCCAAAAGAAATACTGTTAGAGAACCTCCTGGATATCATTCTGCTTAAAGTCACAGCTCCAAGAGCATATTGACTGTTTAGGAAGGACTTCCTGTACCTCCACACCCCACAAAAGAACCTAGAATAAAGCCAGTGCTCAAGAAGGAATAGTGAACAAATGAGATAATCATAGCTGCCTCCTGAAACCGCCTGCAGAAGCTTGACATGATGTCTGACACATCTCTTCACGGTATGGATTTACTTTTCCTTTTTTTTTTTTTTTTTTTCCTGAGACAGTCTTACTTTACCGCCCTCAGAGTGCTGTGGCATCACAGCTCACAGCAACCTCCAACTCCTGGGCTTAGGTAATTCTCTTGACTCAGGTCTCGAGTAACTGGGACTACAGGCGCCCGCCCCAATGCCCGACTATTTTTTTGTTGTTGTTACAGTTTGGTCGGGGCCGGGTTCGAACCTACCACCCTCTGTATATGGGGCCGGCGCCCTACCCACTGAGCCACAGGCGCTGCCCTGGATTTACTTTTCTATAGGGAATATGCTACTGGTGGTCCCGGGCTTATAAGATAGATTCTATAGGTTCTTAAGTTGAATGAGTATGTAGGTTAGAACAGGTACATTTACCAATTGCCTGTAACAGCCTCTGTAAGTGTGAGTTGAGTTGGATGTCTGTAACTTGTCAGGGAGTACCTGTACTGCCCCTTCAATGTACAAGAAGGGCTTAAGATCCTCAATGGGGGTTCTAGGAATTCTGAGGAAGAAGTCCAAAATAGTGTGAGCACTGAGTCCACCTTCTCCCTCCCCAGGCTATGGAAGTGGCAGTTTCCTGCACAAATACAGAAGCTGTTGCAGGAGGTGCAGCTGCTCAAGCCCCATGTCATTGTCGATGGCAACTGGTACTCTTTTGATAAGGAGGACCGGTACTGGTGGAAGAACTGAAGCCTTGGAAACCCTCCCTACCCCCACTGGCTCTGATCGAGGGACTTTGAAAGGCCAGCTGTCCTGGGAGCTGTTCCTCGGAAATGAAGAGTGAGTTCTCATTCTCTCCAAGCCCTGGTGGCAGTGGTCCTTATGTGCCCAATATAACTTGGTTACTGCACTCAAGGGCTGGTGACTTTCATCTCACAGGACCTCAGTATCTGAAATGTCTGTCCCACCTCAGAGCATATAGAGAATCAAATAAAAACACTGAGCATCTAAAAAAATCAAATAGTCCTCACTGGGGTCGGGGAGATACAATTTAACATCAAAGAGGTTGGGAGGGCTTAGATTCTCAAAAGTGGCTCCCAAATTTGGACAACTCACCTGAATATCAAAGGGTGATGTGACTGTCATTCAGTATTTGAGCTGCAGACACAAAACCAAACTTATGGCTTAGTATAATAGAGAACTAGTTGTTTGGGGGAAACCCCAAGACAATATAAACACCCACCCCCAAAACTGAGACAGGGTCAAACCAAAGACTCCAACAGGTCCAGCTTGAGTTTATTAAAGGTCACAAGGTGGCCACTTGGTCCTGGGTGACAACAGGACTTTGTTCCATAGGACCCTCCTACATGCAAAATCCACACCTGCTCCCCCTTGGTGTTACCTTAAATCCCTTCTGGATAAGTGGCTCAGAGCCTGGACATGGTTATCATTGCTTGGTCACAGCAAAACAGATGGTACATATGCATTACTGTCATGTGTGGTCACACAACCCATGTCACATTAGTTTTCACTGGCTGGGGACTTCAGTATTACAACTAGCTAACAGGACAGTGGTGTAGCTCTGAAGCAGTCAGGGCCCATGTGAGCCAACCATTTCGGGGCAAGAAAGTGCTGGGACTCTTTCCAACCAGTAGTTATCTTGGCACCTGCCCAGCTGTCTGCATGTCACTTTTGCTGAGTGTACTGGGCCAGTATGGTGTGGAACCTGCATCTCCCCTCCCCAGTCCCCCTTCCTCCACCAACAGTCTCCAAGCAGAACAGGCTTCTGATCTTCATAGCTAGAGATTTAGGGATGTTGTGGGGTTTGGAGTTGAAATTGACAGGGTGGACGTGGACCTGTGGTTACTCAGGTGTGCTGATCAGCACTCACAGATGTTCATTGCCTGAATTTGAGAAGCAGAGGGCAGCTGTTGGTTGCCTGAAGGAAGCAGTTTCTCTGAGGCAAGCTGTCTTGAACCTGCTGTAGGGACTGAAGTCTGTACCTACTTGTTACAGTGGCTTCTAGGAGTGATGGGTCTGTTTCTAGAAGAGCAAAAAAACTGTGTTTTTACCAATACAGCTTTTACACTTTATTGTATTCCTCGACTCATGATGACACCTAATACATAGCCCTTGTGTATGCAGGCTCCAAGCACTATAAATTAATTCATTCAGTCTTCACAATGCCCCAAAGCTGGGTATATTTTTTTCCCCTCCGTCTTATAGATGAGAAAATTGAGGTGCAAGAAGTTTAAAAATGTATAGCCGAAAAAAGAGCTGCCATTCAAACCCAGGAACTCTACTTCTGGGGTCCATTCTCCCTTTTTTTAGCTCTTTATTTTTAATTATGGCTATACAATCGTTCTGTGTCCTTATGGAGTAGTCATAGCCTGTGTGATCAAATCAGGACAGGTTTCTTCTTTTCTTTTTTAAGATAGTCACACTTGGTCACCCATGCTAGAGTGCTAGAGTGCTGTAGTGTTATAGCTCCCAGCACCTCAAACTCTTAGGCTCAGGTGATCCTCTGGCCTCAGAATCCTAAGTAGCTGGAACTACAGGTACCCACCACCACACCTGACTAGTTTTTCTGTTTTTTAATACAGACACACTTTCATTCTTGCTCAGGGTGTTCTCAAGATCCTGCGCTCAAGCAATACATCTGCCTCAGCCTCCCAGAGTGCTGGGATTACAGGTGTAAGCCTCTTTCAGTTATTTTCAAACACAAACTTTAACTGTGCCCCACAAGCCCTCTTGTGCCTGCACACACTAGCTCTCACCTAGAGCCCATTCTCTTACCTGGAATGTTTTCTTCCAAATATACATTGACTTCGTATGTTGTTCATTGTGCTGCATGTGAATCCATAACTCAAGCATCTTTCAAACCTGGAAACTACTTAGGCTTGTCCTTGGCCATAGTGTCACAGCATACGGCAACCTCTAATTCTTGGGCTCAAGTGATCCTCTTGCACAGCCTCCTGAATAGCTGTGATTATAGGCACCCGTAATAATGAAAAGTTTGTCAGGTGTGGGCAAAAGGTCGGACCTGCCTTTTATTTGTGCTTGTATTAGAATTATCTTGTCATCTTGGCAGGAACAGTTACATGGTCTGGGAGAATTAGTTTATATAAAATGCTTGGACATCGGGCCAGTGTGACCTAGTTTGGCACAAGTGAGGGTGCCAAAGTCTTAAGTTGGACAGTCCAGGAACATGTAACTGACATACAGATGGGGTCTGATAGCTACCACTGATGCTTGTTAAATACTACTAAAGCAGTACTATTCTAGCCTTTTTAAAGCTATGACTTTACAACTAAAAACAATGCCTTGTGTCCAGTGGATTAACTCAAACACTGCCCCCCATCTACTCCCCAACTTTTACTATGTATCATTCCCTTTGTAAAATTATAGCCTAAAAGGAAAGGTCAATGGAAGAAGCCAAGTTTTTAAAAACATTTAGGGATAGTCTTGCTGCCTTGAGCTCTGGGCTGAAGCAATCCTCCTACCTCAGTCACCTGATTAGCTGGGGCTGCAGGCACAGCCATTGTCCCCAGTGTTGCATGTTTGATTCAGATCTGTGTTCATATCCTGGTTCTTCTAAATGCTTTTTTGTGACAGACAAATGTCAGCCTCCATGGGCTTTTGATTTCTAATCTGTAAAACAGGAAAGCTCATACCTACCTCATAGGGTCAGTCCGAAAAGGAAGTGAGTTTCCAGGAAGCTGCTCTCACAGTGGCTGGAACATTCACTCCACCAATATTAAGAACCCACTGGGATCAGTTGTCTATTGCTTTTTCACATCACTTACATACTTAGCAGCTTTAAGCAGCAAACATTTTTGAATCCAGGTCAGACTGAAGTGGATCCTCTGCCTCGGTCTCCCTCACCCTATCATACAGGCTGGCCCCTCTCACTGGAGTAGGACTTCCCTCTAGCCCAGCAGAACAATGAACGTCGGACCCCTGGTCTGCCCAGTTCAGAGAGCTGCGTGCCTTAGACATCTCCCTTTAAAGAGGCCTGATCTGAGAAGTTTGATCTGAACAAAATGGTAAAAACAGTAATTCGCTGACCAGGATCCTAAAAACAATTTACTCTGCACCACCCCTACTATAGTCTTCATGAGCCATCCTTTTCTGAGTAACTCAAAATGTTTGCTAGACAAGGAAGCTCATCTCCGAGACAGCCCCCAACCTGCCTGCCATACACACACACAGCCAGAGTCAGTGCTGCCCTAGATTTAGCCTGAGGCCTGGCTAAAGTCAGATTAGTGCACCAGTGGGGAGGTAGGAATGGGGAGTGACCGCTTAATAGTTACAAGATTCCTCATTAGTTTGATGTAAGCATTCCAAATTGTATAAAAAATCAACACATCATACCCCACAAATGCATAAATGTATTCATGATTTATGTGTATATATCTTTTAATAAAAAGAAAAATTAAAAAGTCACAAAGTTCCCTTTGAGATGAAAATGTTCTGGAATTGGAGGTTATAGTTGTGAATGGCTGTGAATTCAACACTGTGAATGTACCAAATGCCACTGAATTGTGCGCTTTAAAGGGAGTTAATTCCATGTTACATGAATGTTACTTTAGTAAACAAAGTCCATCTAACTCAAACCCACCCCTTGAAACGCCATGCCTGGTTAACATCCTCTCCCTTGTTTCATCTGAGCCCATCTCTGCTTTTCTCACACGTTGCAGTTCTGGAGAATCCAGGCGGTGGCAGAAGAGAGCTGGCAGAGACCCACGTTTTCTTAGGGGTCCCCAGGGAAGGTTTGGTTGAGCATTACCTTTTTCTTAGTTTTATTATGGGTTAATGTGAGGGTACATCTGATTGGGTTGCATTATTTGCATTTGTAAGGTAAAGTCCAAATGGTAGTTGAGTGGTTCACTCCTACATTGTGCCAGGTAGCTGGGAACTAATCAAGAATCCCCTTTCCCCTTTCTTGAATTTGTTTTTCTCTGGTGTGGGCCTGTAGTAGTTGATCTACTTTCAGATTAGTACTGACCACATGAGGTGCTTATTTTTCCATTCTTGAACATTAGGAAAATGTTCTACAAATCCATCCAGGTAAATACAAAAGATGCAAGGTCTTCATCTTTTTTATGACAATGCACCTGCAGATCCATAGCTCCCAGTGTGCTCCCTAATACCCTGGATCCAACATACAAGATACTATTTTCATCCCTCATCCAGCAGAAGGAAGCTAGTGGGGTGGTGAGCGCAGTAGCTTCAGCCCAGGTTTGGGCTGAGCAGTAGAAATGTCTGGGCCAGTCCTGGTGTTTGTGGCACCAGGAGGCTGAGAGTTAGCCAAGTGGGAAAGGAACAGGGGAGCTGTCCCTGAGACTGCAGGACATGGAACAAGAGCGAATTTAGATTCTGGTGAGATGAGGCTGTGGTGGAGGCTTCCTTGATTTGAGAACCAGCATGTTGGACTGTACCTGGGAGATCGTGTAATGGTTCTACCAACATCCCCAGTGTGTAGTAGGGCTGCACTCCCAGGTCTTAGAAAGTCAGGTGTGGCTCTGTGCTTTGCTGGGGGGATAGACTGTGAGCAGAAGAGGTGACTGTCACTTCTGGTGTGAGATCTCAAGATGGGTAGACACTTTGCTGAGCTGTCCTGGCCTAATGAGTGATGGGTGATGGTGAGTCCCCAAAAGTCAATAGCAAGAAGCAGAGCCCCCAGCAGCCCCTGAGCTATGAGGATGATTTGCAGCATAACTTGCCCTGTCCTGACAGTTGGGGAGGGAGGGTTGCAAACTCAAATGGAACACAGGAACCCAGCCACAAAGCTGCTGGGTCAGGAGGTCTGGGTTGGAGCCTGAGAATTTGCTTTCTAACGTGTTCCAGGTAATGCCAGTGCCAGTGCAAAGGCCACACTTGAAGAACTGCAGGGATGAAGCAGACAAACTTAGGTGCTGTGGGCTACAGCAAAATTCACATGTTGAAGCCTAATCCCTAGTTAGATGATAGGAGGTGAGGCTTTTGGGAGGTGAGAGGAGGATCCCTCATGAGTGGGATTAGTGCCCTTGTAAGTGACACAAGAGGGATGTTCTCTGCCATGTGAGCAGGCAGCTGTCTGCAAGCCAGGCAGAAAGCCCTCCTCAGACACCAATTGTGCCGGCACCTTGATCTTGGACTTCCAATAATGCATATAGATGGAGCTGAGCTCCTCTGAGACCCGGGACGGGGCGGGGGTGGGGGGGGTGGGAGTGGGGGCGCAAAGGGTGTCTGTCCATGGTGCTGAGGAATCTGACCCACCCCTACCCACAGGCACTGGAAGATGCAGAATCTGCTGATAACAGTCCATGAGAGAGATGAAATCATTGGGGCCAGAGACAACTCCCTCCATGCCCACATCCTCTCTGGAGGGATGTAGAAGGGATAAGATGGGTGGATGTATGCCATCTACCAGGAACACAGAGACACAGACCTACAGAAATACAACACATGCATATACATGAACCTGGGCACAAAGATAGACACATGCACACACAGACAGACGGGTATGTACAAGCATATATGGACACATGTACAGAGATGCAGCTCCTGTACACACATGTACACATGCATACACTCACACATGGACATGTGTGCACACACACAGGCACTTCTCTAAGGACAGCCAAGTGCACGGCAGTCCCAGACACTCATGTTTCGTGACTAAATTCAGAAGACACTGTGTGTTACAATCTACCCAATCCTCTCCACCCAAGGTGCACAGAAGCACAACCAAAGACTATGGTGGGTGGCTGGTTTTAGATTCATCCATCAACAAAATCTTGATTCAGCCCCCTCTGTGTGCCAAGTACTATTCTACATATTAGAAAACTCAAATCCAGGCTCGGCGCCTATGGCTCAAGCAGCTAAGGCACCAGCCACATACACCTGAGCTGGCAGGTTTGAATCCAGCCCGGCCCCACCAAACAATGACGGCTGCAACCAAAAAATATCCAGGCATTGTGGCGGGCGCCTGTAGTCCCAGCTACTTGGGAGGCTGAGGCAGATTGCTTGAGCCCAGGAGTTGGAAGTTGCTGTGAGCTGTGATGCCACTGCACTTGGGGCGACAGCTTGAGGCTCTGTCTCAAAAAAAAAAATAAAAAGAAAACTTGAATCCAGTGTCTTCCCAAGTTACTTGAACCCAGGACCCCACTTTCTTCAAATGCATTAATATTCCCTGGAACTACACTCTCCAGGGCATCATCTGGGAAATGGGGATATATGGAATAAACATTCCTGGGTGAATGATGTCCTCAGGCTGGACGGTAAGAGGAGTGGAGGTCTCCCATTCCCCAATACTGCCTCCACACCCACCCCTGGGATCCTCTCTTGTCCCTTCCATCCTGGGCTATATGTCACCCCTCCCACCCTCCATGAGGGCAAAGCCTGTGCCTTTGAGGTCACTGCCCTGTCCCTACACTTAGCAGAGCCATTGGCACTGTTAAGTGCTCAGTAAAGACTGCCCAACCTCACCTGGACATCGGGTAAGTGCTAGAGAGCAGGAACACCTAAGTGCACAAATAAATTGATAAATGACACCATGTGACATCAAAGCACGTCAGGTGCCTGATCCGGTGCAGGCTGAACTGTTAATTGTAAAGTGGGGGACCCCAGTGCCTCATCCCATCATGCTCAAAGGAGGAAAACCAGGGTCAGAGAGGTGAGTTCACTGGTGCAGGGTCACATAGCCTACATGCCAGGCAGGGCAGAGGCTGGCCCTGAATCTATCTCATTCTGGGGTGTCACTGCCACCATGCCTTCTGGTCAGAACACCCATCTACTACCTTCCACCAGAGCAGCAGGCCCATCCCTCCTGCCCCAGGCTCCAAAGGTCTCCCAGGCCTGCTCGCTTTCAAGGGGTGACCTAGAGCAGGAAGCAATGTCCTCTTAGTTTTGGCTAACCTACATCCACACCAAGCCCCCTCCTTGAAAGTAACCTGAGTTTCAGAAATTGAACACTAACACCAATTAGCCCAGAAGGCAACAGCCACTGGACAGAGTGCTCTTCCAACCTCCAACTACTCAGCTCCTCAGCCCACACCCCTCTCAGCCATCCCTGGCCTTGACTTTAGAGGTCCCAGGGTAGGCATAACCTTGCCCACCAACTCCTCTCTGCTACAAAACCCCCTTTCCTCACAAGTCACCTCCTACATGATCACAGCTGTTCACCCAGGCTGAAAAATACCCCTTTGGGGGCTTCTGCTGCAGCCCCTAAGGCCCCAGGAACGTGGGTCCTCAGAAGCTGGAATTGGCCTCAGGGGAGGGCCACATGTGACCCAGCCGCAGGACTCACCTGGGGGTACGGGTGGGAGGGTGAGGCCGGGGACCAAGTCAGCTGGGCAGGGAGTGCCGGTGCCAGGCACAGTGGAACGGGCGCCTGGCAGCTACCACGGAGACCCCACCCCCCTTCTCCCGGGCTCATCCAACCGGCCCTGCAGCATAAATAGTGCTGGCCCTCTGCTGGCCTGTGTCCTCCCTAGAAACCAAGCCCAGCGTGGCTGCAGGCCACAAGCTGTGGGAGGGAAGACACTCAGCCCCGCGGCCCCTACCCGCCTCCCTCCCATACTCAAGAACCAGGCCAGCCGGACGGCTAACAGTGCGCTTTATTGCCCTGCACCTTCTCCCACTTCGCCCCGGCCAGGGGACCTCGTGGCACCGCCCTCGCAGGGGCTGCGTTCGGATAGGAACAGCGGCCAGACTCTGCTTCGCTCAGAACCCAAAAGGTCGCAAATGACTTCGCTAGAAAAAAAAAAAAAAATGGGACCCGCAGGGCAGAAAAAATAACGGGCAGGAAGGGTCAGGACGGTGGGTGTGACTAAAAGAAAATTCTAAATGAGATAAGGGCCCTGCTCCAATTCTCTCACCCAGGCCCTTCTAAATGCAGCAGGCCCAATTCTCTCCATTCCTTCTCACATCCCCAATTCGCCGGCGGGGAAAGAGGAATAGGCCTTTAGCGCCGGGTCCAGTGGCCACTAGGTCTCTGCAGTTCTCTCGCACTGCCTCTGGACCAGAGCCAGGGTAGGCCAGGCTGGTAGGAGCAGGGGCTGGGAGGACCAGCATAGTCTCCAGGCAAAGAGAACTGGCCCTAATACTCACCCTAGACCCCTGGGTGGAGGGCGTCAGGGGAGCCGAGAAAGCCGCGGTCCGTCCCACCCGCACTGTCCCTGGATCTCTGGGTCTTGGACGTCGTAGTTCCCGCCAAGCCCGAGGGGCCCCGCCACCCCCCGGCTCCCCTGCCCCTACCGGCCCTCCCCACCGCGGCACTCGGCACACAGCCCGCCAGCCGCGTCCTCTTCCTCCTCCTCCTCCCCGCCAGCAGGGTAGTAGCTCTGTCCGCAGCTGCTGCAGACCGAGGGCGCGCCCACGGCATGGATCTTCTTGTGTCTCCGAAGCGCGGCGCCCTGCACGAAGCCCTCCCCGCACTCCACACAGATGTGGGCGGGTTCCTCGGCCCCTGCTGCCCCAAGCCCGTCCCCGTGCTGGGCCCGCTGGTGGGCCAGGAGCCCGGCCCCATGCCCAAAGCCCTTCCCACATTCCATGCACACATACGGCTTGGGAGCCGGGGCGCGCCGCGACCGGGGCCCTGCCGCCTTGGGCCCTGCACCCGCCATGGCTGCGGCCGCCGTGGCCCCATCGCCCGGTGGGCCCACCACGATGATGCCCTCGCCGTCGCCCACTGGGATGGCGATCTCGCCGTCCGCTGCCGTCGCCTCCTCGGGCGCCTTGGCCCTGCGGACGCTGGCCGCCAGCACCTTGGCTGCCACACCGGGACCCGACAGCTCAGGGTGCAGCCGCAGGTGGCGCGCCAGGCTCTTGGGCTGGCTGAAGCCACGGCCACAGCGCGGACACACGAAGGGCTTGAGACCGCTGTGCGAGCGCCGGTGCTTGGCCAGGCTCTTGCTCTGTGTGAAGCTGCGGCCACAGTCGGGGCAGGCGTAGGGCTTCTCCCCGGTGTGGATGCGCTGGTGCTGCATGAGGTTGGAGCTCCAGCTGAAGCGCTTGCCACACTCGGAGCAGGCGTAGGGCTTCTCTCCCGTGTGGATGCGCCGGTGTTGCACCAGGTGAGAGCTCTGCGAGAAGGTCTTGCCGCAGTCGCTGCAGGCGTTGGGCCGCTCCCCCGTGTGTGTGCGCTGGTGCCTTGTCAGCTTGGACCAATGGCTGAAGCTCTTCCCGCACTCGTTGCAGATGTAGGGGGCAGGCGGCCTAGGCCGAGCTGGAGGGCCAGCTGGGGGCGCGGACTGGGGCGGCGACAGCTTGGTTGGAGGCCAGCTGGGGACGTCGTCATCATCCATAATGAGGATGTCCACTGGAAGGCAAGAGGGTGGGGAGGTAGTCAGAGAGGGCCCTTCTGCCTGCCCTCTCTAGGGGCCTGCACTGCTCCACCCCAGATTCCTTCTATCCTGGGCATTTCACTAAATATTTATGTTTATTATTTCAGCCCAACAAAAGACCTGAGCTTCTCAAGAGTTAGGACTTAACTCCACTGCTATTCCTCCCAACACCCAGAGCAATGCCTGGGATTCAAGGTGGACTCTGCACAGGACATTTGAGGGGTAGAGGTCCAAGGAAGGTTCCCAGAAAGAAATAGTACCTGAAAGCCAAAGCACAGGGCTAGAGGCAAGGAGGCTGCAGGGAGAGGACAAGGCCACCTGATAGGTGTCTCATCTGGCTCTAGGAAAGTAGTCCTGGCTGCCGCATGTAGAACAGGTACAAGGAAGGGAGACCCAGACCAGGACCAGAGAGCCCTGCCTCCAGTACCTAGGAGGAAGCCCCATGGAAGTGGTCTCTATCACAGATGCGCTCACATTGGCTCCTGGCTGGTGGGGAGAAGGGAGCTGTGTGTTCCAGGGGACAACTAAGGAATGTGGAACATAGTCATCACATCTACACAGGGAGGACACCACCACCATCCACAGTTGCCCAGCACCTCCCACCCATCTGCACCAGGCCCGCCCTGAGTGGGTCCCAGGGAGGTCAACCTCCTCCCACCCTCCAGCTCTCAGGACTGGTCTGTGTTCCCTCCCAGAGCTGCACAATCAGACTCTGGCTTCCAAAGGAGGAGGAGTCTTTCCAAATGGGAAATCAGTCACCTCCCCTCTTAGACTGCAGGCTCCTGCAATGTAGGTCTCTGCCCCAACACCCAGCACAAAGAGCTCAAATACTGTCCCTGAAATAATGTGGCAAATGTGTAAAATGGGATTATGACATTCCAATGACACTGCTCCACGCTGAAGTCCTCACAAGGGGGTGCTAGGGAGTCTTATCTCTATGGTGGAGACACTGAAGCACCAGGAAGGTGAGTCACAGCCCAGGGCTCTGTAAAGCCCAACATATCATCACCACCATCATTCCTCTGGGGCCAAGAAACAGCAAGGCACAAAAAAAAAAGCAATGCTGCACCCACAAGTAGCACTTCCCATGCTCCACGGGTGCTCCCCAAAGTGAGGCCTTGGGACCACCAGCAATAGGTCTGCTAAGAACTTAGTAGAGCTGCCCAGACTTCACTAACTGGGCCTCACCCAGACCGCACACCCACAGGATCAGCAGTTAATGAGGGGAGGATAGTGCTGTGCCTGCCCTGGGCCAGGCCCACCAGATGATTCTCTGTCCTAAGGCACTGAGTATTAGAACATGGCCCTTGAATCATCTGGGCAGAAGAAAACAAATCCAAGTAGAAGAAAATGGGGGGACATCTTCTGAAGACATGGCACAAAGTCCATTCTGCTGTCAACATACACCAAGAAGTTACAAGTTCTAAGCACATCACTTGGCCATGCAGAGAAAGAATACACCTTCCCCCACACAGGCTGCCAGCACCTTGGCTGCCATACTTGGCTCCTACAGCCTCAGGGTGAGGCTTGTTTTTCTAGATAAAGGAGCCTCCTCTAACTGTCAATACTCTTTTAATTAAAATAACCACTTTGTTTTCTAAATTGTCAAGAGAGAAAGTGTAACAATGCAAGCAGCCAGGAATAGCACTTGACGGTCCTGTGGACCAGCTCTGACCCTGCTGGGAGCAGCCCAGAGGAGGTGGGCAGGAGGGTGTGGGGCCGCATGTAGAATCCAGAACAGCCCAAGGGCAGTACTGGGTAGTAGAAAGGTGAAGTTTGCTGTTGGCCACCCACCAGGCTCTAGTTCTTCTCATACACTATTTTCCAAGCAGGTGCAGGTATCAAATGCTGCTAAAGGACACACTTAGTGATTTCACAGGCCCAGCTCTTGCACAAATGGCCAGGTGCTAGCTCTTTCCACACTCAGTGTGTGTGGCAGGCAGAGAACGGCTGCCCTGCGCCACTTGGCCTCACCTCACAGCTTTATCTTTGAAAGGATTTCACCAATTCCCAAAAAGAGCAGAGCAGAGCAAGGAGCTCACAGTACTCATGTGGTAAAAACATGACGGCAGTGAGGAAGATGACGGCTCTTGGGACAGCAGCAGCTGCCCTTGTGGAGGGCAGTGACCCCAGATGCCATGCTCTGTGCTAAATGCATCCACAGATTACCACACATAATCCCCTGGCAGACAATGTCCTTGTCCTTCTCTCACTGAAGGAGGACCCAGTCCAGTCCCTGAGGGCATGGGGTGGGGGGGGGCACTCCACTCCAGAGCTCCCAAAGCAGAACCTCTGGCCCAGGGAGCTGCAATTTCACTGACTTGACCTTCTGACAGACACAGAGTGGCCCTATCAATGGCAGAGCTTAAGAGCTGAGGACAGCCTGGGCAGGCAGAGAGTCCCTACACCCTGTCCTGCCACAGCCCTCTCAACTCCTGTTGTAACCACCACCCTGATTTGGGTCTTAACAGTCCCCTGTATTTCTTCTGGGCTCTGTCACCCAAGGGTCACTCCAGGCATGGCACTTTGGTCATTACTTTTTAACTGAGCATATCTCCAAGTCTCTCTCTACCCACAGGTCCCCAAAGCCACCTGCCTTTCACTGTAACTTTTCCTAAGGAGCTAGGCATGTGGACCCTGCCAACTGCATGCTCAGCCTGCACCCCCTGTCCTGCTTGCCCATCAGCAGCTGGATCCAAGGCTCCCCAAGGCTCTCAGGGACTCAGGGTCAGCATAGTTATGATTCTGGAGGTAGGGTCTTAGGCAGTCTCTCAGATCCACTGAGGGACTGGGGTGCAGAATGCAAGAGCTACAGCTTCTGCCTTAGTAACTGAAACAGATCCTAGAGACCCAGTGGTGAATTTCATGCAGCAATGGCAGGATAAATGCTCATTTCCCCAGTTTTCAAGAGAATGCACTGGTTCCCAGCATTTCTTCACGGCTCTGCCACCCAAGGGTGCAGACACTTTAGTCATTACTCTTTGACTGTCTCCAAGTCTCTGCATCCATATGTCCCCTGGGCTTCTTGCTTTTCCTTATAATTTTCCACCAGGGTGACTAGAGTCTTCCCATTCTTAATATTATGAACTCATGAATTTAAGCAGTCTTCAATCTACTGAAATGGGTATACTTTGTGAGGCTAAAACTGCCCCATCTTTGGGGGAGCAGGAGCCCCTGCAAGTGTACTCTGAGTCCTCTAAGGGGATCCTGGTAGTTTCTGAGAGCTTTCCACTCTTGACCTCTCAAGATGTCCCAGGCTTGACTCAGCACCTGTGGCTCAAGCGGCTAAGGCACCAGTCACATACACCTGAGCTGGCGGGTTTGAATCCAGCCTGGG